CAAAAAAAAAAAAAAAAAAAAAAAAAAAAGAACACAAGGCGGGTTTCCCACTGGATAAAGAATCAGGGAGAAAGAAAAGCTCTGTTTCCGAATTATGTACTTATTTTATTTTACTCTGGAACTGGAGAAATTAAAACTTGCAGATAAGCAAAGGAAAAATAAAACAACTTAGTTGTATCCTATTCACTCTCTTTACACTGAAAGATATACTGTGAGTTTCTAAACCCCCAAATCCACTAACCACACTAACAATCTGCATCTCTTCCTAATCTCTCCTGTCAAGGGGTGTGGGAGGGGGGCAGGCAATGTCACGGTCTCAGCACTGAAGTCACCACAAAATTCTCTGGGCCTCAACTGGTCAGCATTTTACCTTCCGAGTCACCCTTTGCATTTTGTTTGTCCTGCCGTCCCCCGGCTCTTCTCACCCAGCTCATCACGTGCAAAACCCTTCCAACTGCTCTCAAATTCCAGGACTGTCCCTCCCGTCTCCCGTGTGGCATACGTGTTTGACCTCCTTTTCAGTGGTGCTCCACTTTGCCTTGCGGAAAACATACAAATTTTTGAGCAAGGCCAGTTTACAAGGAGGCCCACACCTCCCTACGGTCTCTGGACACGCCACTCACCTGCCACTCCGGGCGCTGTCCCCGCTCCATCGTGCCTGCAACCACCTTCAGCTCCTGCTTTGCCTGAGCTCTGGCTTCTCTGGAGATGCCCCCCTTCATCCCACCCTCCCTCTCTGTCCCCCAAAGCCTCTCCCACCCAATAATAGGGTATTTGTATCTGTGCACCCCCCACCAGCCAGACCTGCAGCCTAGCCCTTTCCACCTCGGCGCCTGGAGCTTAGCTCACCGGGCCCAACACCTGACACTGCCCTTGCCCTTGAGAATATCTACTTGATGGAGGGAAACGAATAAGCTCTCCAATTTATATTAAAAGCTCCTTCTCAGAAGTCTGTCCCTCAGAGCAGCCCCCCATCTCTTAGATTGTCTGTAAATGCTCATTAATTACTTCGATCTCCTCATTTTATCCTGGAGAATCAAAATTCAAGACGGCTACAAGTGCCACTTTGCTATTCAAGCTATCAACAGCTCAAAAGATTACTTTTGAGTCCAGGGAATGGCATTTGGGGATGGAAGGGCAGATAACACTCCTCTTTAAACCCAGTATCCCCAGAACCAAGACCAATGAGAAGTTTGAAAGCAACGAGGACTAAATGAAGGCAGGTGTTCTGGCTCATTTTCACTCACAGAACAGCTTAAACACCTGATAAAAAAATCAGCTCCATGAAGTTCCTGCCCAACATCAAAATCACTTTTCTGACCCCCAAACATGACCTTGATGATAAGGTACAGAGTGGGGATTGCCCATGACCTCCCAGCCCAAGAAGGCTGGCATTCCATGGTGCAAGCAGTACCCAGGGGCCTGACAGGAGCACGAACAGGCAGAAGGAAGTCAGGGGAAGCAGAAGGGAAGGGGGAGGGCCAACAATCTATAAGAGGAGCACGCGGAAGCACAGGAGATAGACGGTGGAGGACAGGAAGGGAGGCCCGTGGGCGGGGAGGTGTGGCCATCCTATGCGTGGTGCTCAGGATGGCCCAGCCTGGGGAAGCAGCGGGAACAGTCAGCGCAGAGGCCCTCGGTGGGCGTGTAGGGCCCAGACAGACTGGGGTGTAGTGGGGACAGGCTGAGCAGGGGGCCCTGTCTGCTACTGTAAACACCTGGGCTTTCACCTTGAGACTGGAAGCCTCATGCACATCTAAATGTTTCAGATCTTCAACACTCAAACAGAAAGGCCTCAAAAAAGAGCCCCCTGCAATTCTGCTTGAATCTTCCAAAGCCCTTTCATCCTGGTTGGTAGAGTCACATATCCAAATACAAGGGCTGATCATTCCAACACGCTTTACCTGTTGGAACTAATACAGCGGCCGAAGCCCACTTAGAAGTATCCTTCTCTGTATAAACTGAACAACCTCAAAAAAGGGAAAGCAGACCTGTTCCCATTAGTTCTGAACAAGCCACGCAGAATTTAGATACGTTATGCCTCACAGCCCAACACGCCGCCTTATAAACCTGTCTACATTTGTTTCTCGGAGTGGCTAGGAAATAGATCACGTTCGCTAGAGTCTCCAGCCCGGCCTAGGTATTCATCCAGCCTCTTTAATTTCTCGTGCTTTTCCTCGCTGCTGCTGGTTTGGAATCACTGTCACAGGCTTGATTCCTCCATTTCTACCCCCATAACCAGGTTTGGGGACACTGTTAGAAGCACGCAGCGTTGCTGGGTTACAAATTTCTATCAGCTCCCCCAGTGGTAGTCAGATCAGACAGACAACGACTGTCAGGACAGACACACACAAAAAAGAAATCTACTGTCTGAAAAGCTGAGCCTTTCTTTCAAGCACCTTATTTTAAAAGAGATTAACTCTTAATATGTATGACATACAACTTCATAGTGTTAAAAGAGATTCTGAAATCCTACCAGACAAAATTTCCCATCAAGTGTTATTTTTACGGTGGGAAACTGTCCAACAAAGGTGTAGAGTTAAATGTGCAGAGAAGATAACCACTGTCAGAAAAGGCACTAACATCTTGTATAAACCTTCTCAAGGTTAGCAGTGTTTCTGCCAGGACTGTGGTGGCTGAGACCTGATGAACAGTATTAGGAAAAAGACAGCATTAGTAGTTGTCATCAATTCGTTATTTTTATTTTGAGATAAACTAACTTTTTTTTTTTTTTTTACTTTTAGGGGGGAAAAGAGTGAGTAGTTTAAATGAAAGCCATATAAAACCAGTGTGTATGTGAGTATGTGAAGGTGCAAATGCACAGCAAAAGAATGGGAGAGATGTGCAGAAAGCCAGTAACCAGCTACCCAGGAGGCGTCAAGTGGACCAGCCATGGGGCCGCCGGGGCCCGGAACTGGTAGGGGACCTCCGAGTTTCACTGCAGAGGCTTCTGTTTTCTTTAACTGGTTTTCTTTGTTTACAGTAAAGTATGTACTTGTTAAATTTTAGAAAGAAAAAAATAAACCCCGATGATCAATCAAGTTTGGGAACCAATGACCCAATCCAAAAGAAGAAAAAGAAAAATGTTATTGTCAAATATTAAAAGCTATTTGAAAAATTTTAAAACTTCAATGTTATAATCATTTAAAATAGCTCTGAAAGAAAACAAAATATAAAATTGTATTCATTAATGAAAATAAATGATAAAATATGCTAATACTCCTCAAAATGGCTAGTTAAATTAAGCATATCTAAATTAAGGCAAAAATATAATTATAAAAGTATAGATATTCTTTCTCTCCAATTTAAGAGTGTGCTTGTGGCTAGACCTTCCCAGGTTAACACTAGGGTTTCTCTCTTAAGTGTTTGGCACACGTGGCATGTGTTCTGGCCATTTTGTGGAATTAGATGTGAAATACTCATTTATAGCACCAGTCTATTTATAATACTGCTAATAATAACAAAGAAAGCTGACACTGAGAAAAGATGAACAAAAAACTAACCAAACCAGTATACAATTATAATATTTAAAAATTCAAAACGTTCTGAAGTTGATCATATTTCCAACTAGTAATATCAGGAAATCTTTCTCAGCACAGAGAGCACAGCAACCTGCTCTGAGGCTCAGAATCTGAAGAATGCTGAGAAACAGAGGCAGCTCCCTCTATGCGTCATGATTAACAATCCTCACAGCATCTCCCTATTTTCCCAACGTCTGATGATGCCAACTGACTCCTGCATCCAAGGCCAAGAGCCAAACGCCGAAGTGTACCTCCTCCCGCCCCACTGCCAGGGACATCAGGACTGGCTCCTGAACAAAAGCAGGTTAATCGACGGGGCCAAGGACGTATCCGCATAGCAGGTGAAGGGAGAGGGGGCAGGAAAGAATCAGAGAAACTTAAGTAACTGATAATACAGTCAGCAAAGAGAGAAAACAAGCAACACAAAAGGAAAACACAGAAGGAGAAAGGATTTTTTTCCCAATAAATTGGTATTTTAAAAAGAATAAGAAAAAAGAAACTTTGGTTTAAGTCTGTCGTCCAGTAAGATAAGAAAATGTATGTCTAGGCTGGAATCGTGGCTTAGTAAAGAAATGCAGTTCACTGTGGCTTCTGAAAGTGATATAAGACTCACGTTTTCAGGATTAAGTAAACACAGCAAGAAAAAAACGCCAGCCTCTACTCATGCGGGGCGAGGTTTGGCGTTGTTTGCTCCTCTTGGAGGGGGCAGTAGGGGACGGTGACTTGTAGGCAGAACTTCGCTGGTTAATGAACACAACCAGAGGAGGTCCTTACCAGGCCGTTGGTGTGATTGCACATGTCCCACAGAGGAATCAGCGCCAGGGTCACCCGGGAACCATCCTCCGTGGGAATCTGATTTTGTCGAGTCATAACGGAAGAGACCGCCCACCTGTAACAATCAGAAAAAAGGCGAATTATGGCCAGCACGTCTGAAAGCCCACGGCAGTCACAACTCAACCAAAACCGAGGTGTGCCTGACCTCTCACGAATTTTCAAAACCCTTTCCTAAGTCGCAAAGGTGGTGTTAATCATCATTTAAAATTAAGTCTAGGGTAAAGAGAAGAGGAGGGGGGATATGGAAGGAAAAGGGAGCCAGGGGAAATCTAAAAGTGAGAGATTAAGGGAGGACGTTCCCGGGAGAAAGCAGCCTGGAAGGAGGGCCTAGAACAGAGCCAGCCAGGCCTCAGCGGGTCCCGGTCCGCGTTGCTGCGGAGAGACCCCACCCCTCTTTTACCCAAATGCTGACTCTGTACCTATTTTGAGCCTCAGTGAAAAGCAAACACTGTAACTCCTTTCTGATCGGAAATCCTCTTAAGAGCTCTACAAAATGTGGAATGCTATTTTTTTTTTTTACTATGTTGTGCACTGCATTAAATCTTTTTGTTAAAAAAAAAGTCCCTACTTTAAAGCGCTAAAACAGTCTGTTTGAAAGAAAAAAAATCCTCACCCCACACTAATGTTAATCTTGAGCATCACTTGGCTACATCAACTAATCCCCACCAATACAGGTTAATGGCAATTTCCACATGGCTATTAAAACGCTGCTCCCTGCCCCGGGGTCCAGTGTAACTTCCGGAAAGACAATCTCTTTTTTAAGGCTTTAAATAGTCATGCAAGTCACTTCTTACCCAAGCCCTTTGCACTTCTGAGATCCCAATTTCACTCAGAAACCACCCTCCAACACATGCCTCGCACATACGTACACCACACCCCAACACACACACACACACACACACACACACACACACACACACACCCTCACACCAACCTGTAGTCCTCATAAGTGAAAGAATCCTTCAAGGGCAGTTTGTGGGCATGAGGATGGGTCTGGGAATTAGAAGTTTTAGAAAGCAGAGGTGAAAAGAGAAAAAAGGGAAAACAGAAATCAGTCAGCAAAATTTCATTATTTAGCTGCCTAACAGATCCTAACAAGAGCCAAATGAAGCAGGAGGCATCCAGCCGCGCTACTGAGGGATCATCGTGCTATTATGCTCTCATACATCACTGTCAACTTAATTTGTTGTGCCCAGCAGCCGCCATAAATCTGCTGCTTCATATTTCGATACCAGGACCCACAGACACGGCACAGAAATAAAATTTAAGGTGGACTGAGTTTACAAAAGGTAGGCACACCCACACCATGAGTCTCTCGTCTACACGGAAACCCGGAGTCTCCAAGTCAGGTGTCTGTCCCGGCCTCCCTTTGCATCTCTTGCCATAATGTGCTGTACAGCCCTCATGAATAGTCCAAATCTCTTCTTATATCAATAAAAGGAACAATTAAAGGCACTCTAATAAATTGAAACTTCTTTCATTTATCTCTGACTTAAAATCATTTGGAAGGATATCAACTTGTTACGTGCAAATGAATCGTACAACATGGCAGATGCAGCTCAAATACAGAAAATCAAGAACAACACAGTATTGTGAAATTATGAATTAAATTTTACAAACAAGTGTAATAAAGATAAAATCGAGATCGGCATATGTGAATTTCACTCTTTTTTTTTTTTTTTGTCTCTGGACAAAAGAACATTTGAAAGAAATATCCAAAACTTCACACTTTAGAGAAAATTGTACACATCTCACATCCTCTCTCTCCACAAAACCCCCCCGACCCTGGGCCTTTCGAGCACTTAAAAAACTGTGTCTCAACTAAGAAATTCAAAGCTGTAACAGTATAATTTTAATCTTCGGTTTCCATTACAGGCTGATAGACAGATTGCAGTAAGTGATCAAATGAACAAATGGTGATTTCTGAGATACCAGTGCGATTCGGCTGCACTGTCTCTGCAGCACTGTAAATGCACGGAGCCCCGTGTAGTATGCAGTTTTTACTTTTGACGCATTACCATCACAAGTGCATGGTAATTTATCATCGCTCACTGCACTGTACTCGCTGGCACCGTATGCAGGACAGTAGGGGATGAGGTAAAAGTGGCTCAAACCGTAAATCAATTAGAAAACAAAAGCTTGTGCTCGGCGCGCAATTTTAGGCAAATTATATATTACAAAAGGCTGCCAATTGGGTGCTAGCTCCCAGGTGCCTGCTTCTCCCCTCTGATCCTAAACCCAGTTTTAACCCTTTGGAAGAAAAGTCAACATATGGAAATACAGTCACATAATATGTAAATGTTATGACAATAAAAATGAAATTAAAGAAGATATAATTTAGGTCAAAATATAAAATAACCTATCGCTCAGGGGCATTCTCTAGCTGCATTATTCTAGCTAGGAAGATTAGAAAAAACTATCTCTGTTTTTAAAAAAAAAAACCCCAATACCATGGTCAAGCATAGCAAAGATTCGAGGAGAAGCTTCTTATTGCCTCTTCTTAGTAATGAATGAAATGCAAGCCTGTGTTCTAAGAGTCCTAAAGAAGCTTTCCATTTAATTATGGAACTTGACCATAAGGGTGCTCAGGTTTTTCCTCATAAAAGTACAAATTCTGCAGATAAGAACTGTCCCTCCACCCAAAACTAATTTGATGATGAGTACCATAGAAATTTTTCAGAACTTTAAAGAAAAGAAATTCCATTGCTAAAATTTCCTTTCACTTATAATAAAATGAAGCTTCACATAGTCTGACCTACTGGGAATGTTGCACATCCTATCTCTTCTCAAACTCTAGGAGGTGGGAAAGCATTGTTGCTTTTGTTATTTTAAAATGTTTTAAATTCATTTAAACTGTGGAATGCCCTGTGGTATTTTGAAAGCTGGTAAATTCCAATGCTAAAACCCCGGAGTATTAAAAATTCGACCCCTCCCCCTCTAAAAGTTTGACTTACTGAATAGGAGAAGAGATGACAATTTTCAAAATTAGAATGCTGAATATCAAAACGACTTGTGGAAGAATGTTCCAAACACTCAAAGGTCTTTAAATAGCTTTGGACTCTATGAAGAAAACTCTTCAAACAAGGGCAGCCTCCCCAAGGACCAAAAAGATGGAAAATTAACTCTCCAAAATGTCTCCCTTCCTACTATTTATATACATTTCTTACCAAAAATACAAGTTTATGTTCACAAGCCTGATGAGGTCGTAAAGAAAACGCAAGGGAAAAAAAATACGCAAATGCTTTCTTCAGGTTAATTTTGAAGATTATTTTGGCTACAGAGTTAGGTAATACTTGCAGAATCTGTTAGAAATAGTTGTTCTTATCTACTTGAAAAATAAGGTGTGCCCACTGTACGTAATTCTGGTTTTTAAAAAAAGCTATTCTACCACAGACACATGCACTTAACAGTTACACTGAAGTGGAATTTGAGGCTACAGAGAAAGGCAAGTATCTTCCATTTCAACGGGGCCCTCACTGCTGTGACACCAGCGCCACCTACTGGCCTCATGGTGGAATCGGTTACAGCTGCAGAGTTCTTGGATTATTTCCCAGGGCAAGGCCCCCAGAGCAACTTATCCTAAACCAAAACTGGGTTTATCCCGAATGGCTACTGGCTCAGCTTTACTCAAGAGAAATTTGGTTTCTAAAAAAAAAAAAAAAAAAGGAAGCCAACTTACCTCTTTAAATTATTATAAAATAGTTTTACAAGGATCTAGAAACATTTAAATATTGAAGTGATTTTCATGTGAAAAGCATTTAACTTTAAAAATAAGTATTTTCACATACCCTGAAAAAATAAACAAGAATAAGAAATATGTCTATTCCAAACACTATTTAAGCTCTGGACAGAATTTTTTTTTTTAACACATCAAGCCTTAAGGTTTAAAAGTACATTTTCCAAAAATTATAACATTAACCTGAAGTTACTTGAAAGCTCCTAAAAATGTTCTTAGATGAAAGTCATTAAGTTCACACTTTATGGGGAGGATAACCGAACACTCCTCACTTTATAGAGCAAAATCTTATAAGGGTTTTGTTTATCTCCAATAGAAGACATTCCTAACCTGTACTTTAAAAACTGTAAATGAAAGCAGAAAACTTACTCATTGTGGCTAATTAGTTTTAGTTGAGATAGCTGTTTCCAAGATCTAGCTACACATGGGGTGAGTGAGGATCTGTCTGGCAGTAGAGAAAGACGACAGTGATGGGGTTTCTCAGGTACCAGGGCCCAAAAGGAGCAGGCCATAGGGTCCACCAAGCATTAACTTCCTCTCCACTCCCCCACCCACCCCATAAATACAGGGGTAGAAACAAGCCCAGATTTTTTAAGTGATCGATATTTTCACTTTCTTGTGCATTATAAATATTTGAAGTTGGAGATATGAACAGTTCCTGTAGCTCATAATCAGACTTGAAGCCCTATAGAGCTTACTTTTAAAAGAGGATTCTTGTTTCCTTAAGTCAAGCCTGGCAACCCAGGGAAGCTCTCTCCCATTCCCTCTTCTATCACAGGAGGTGTTCCAGATGAGACACAGTAATATTGTACCTAGTACAAAATAATCACTATGTTTGGGGAAGATTAATATCTAAAATCGTTTGTTTGGCTTCAATAAAAAGAAGTAATATTGCTAAATATGTAAGTATGACATTTTGAAGAATTTACCATATTGCATGGGTCTGGTAGCTATGCTTAAGGAAATTAAAAACCACTACAGTCAGCATATTTGATCCTTATTAAAGTTCTGTCTTGAACTATCACTCACATAAAACAAAAATAAACCAAGAAGAAATTTAAATAAAACCTATGGATTACAAGAGTTGAGGATGAAAAAATGAACAATATTCTGGTTCTTAAAAATTGATTTAGCATGCAGCTTCTCTTTATAGTCCCTTGATAAAAATGAAATCTCCCTAACAAACACTTAATAAAACCTGTCAATATCTCGGGAAAGAAAAATGACACAAATGCATTAAGTATTAAATACCCTTGGAAAAAGTCACATATTCCATGAATTTTTGATGTACTATCTTGACATTAATGTAAAACCTTGATATTTATAATTGACAGATATTTAATAAAGTATAAAGAAGATGACTGCTGTGTAGCATGCAAATTTTTCGGGTTGATCAGAAATGAAAGATACAGACATGCACTTAAACTAAATAAACAGTTAATATGTGCTACACGAATCAGCTGCAGTCTTATTTTAAGCTCACACAACAAATCTTGGTGGAGAAGCAAAATAAGCAGAATTCATTATTATGTGAATTCCTAATTCAGAAACATCTAGTATGTGAAACAGCTCTGCACAGGAACAAAATACATTTGAGTTAAAGTTGTTTCTTGTTTTTAACATTTAACAGTCAACATTTCAAAAAATAAAATAAAGACAAGCACTTTCATAAATACATGGACAGGTATTTCCTAAAACAATTCTTTAAAAAAAAAAACACATTTGGGCTTCCCTGGTGGCGCACTGGTTGAGAGTCCGCCTGCCGATGCAGGGGACACGGGTTCGTGCCCCGGTCCGGGAAGATCCCACATGCTGCAGAGAGGCTGGGCCCGTGAGCCATGGCCGCTGACCTGCGCGTCCGGAGCCTGTGCTCCGCAACGGGAGAGGCCACGACAGTGAGAGGCCCGTGTATCGCAAAAAAACAAACAAACAAAAAAAACCACATTTAACCTAAAGAAAGATTCAAAACCCTCTAAGGAAATTAAACAAAAAAAGATTAAAACACACAAATGGCCTCTAGGACACAAACACTTCTCAAAATCAGATCTTTACTTTTCTAAAGAATACTCATCTCTAACCTTGACCAGTTTTTATATGGAAACTGAGTTGAATACATTTAATAATCACCTTCAATGAGGCATTTAAATATATTAAAAGGAAAGTAGCTCAGTTCATAAAAATGACTCCTAAATACTGTATTTTGAAGAATTTATAACCTGCTGTAATATATAACCAACTGTTAACTTGAAAAATATGT